GGGGGCTGCGATAGATGGCAGCTGGGAAGAGGATGGGATTTGGCTCAAAAGCTAGATCTGGCCAACAATTAAGAAACTAACTAGTCCAAGCAAGTCTGTGCCATTCAGATGCACCACTAGTTAATAATTTTTTAAGAATTTTCAGTATATTTTAAATCAATTAAATAGCTTGTGCCCCTATGTGATTTATAGATGTGAGTTCCATCTTACTCCAAAGGCATCAGGACATACCACATCACACACATGATCATCATCCTCACATGGCAACACATGTATACCCCTGATCTTTTTGCCCACTTTATTTTTTTGAAAAAAAAGTCACTCTTACCGGAAACTATATTTTTATGCTTATGAAGCCACCTTAAAAAAAGTTTAATTTCTGGTCTTTTTTTGGTCTACATGCAGTATTTTCTTGCATTTTTAGGCCTGATGGAAAAAGCCACTCTCGGAAGAGAGTTATTGTGGTCAGCAGTTCCCTACATCCTCAGCAAAATTCAGAAGACAGTGATGTAGATGATATAGAGCAAGATCCTAGGGATCACAAGCGTCAAAGATTTCAAAGAGAATCAAGCCCAAGTTCCAGTAGCACTAGTAGTAGTAGTAGTAGTAGTTGCAGTTCAAGCAGCAGCAACAGCAACAGCAACAACAGCAGCGCTACCACCACCACCAACATCGCCACTACCATCACCACAATCGCCACTACAAACAACAGCAGCTCCAATTCGGAAAGCAATGAGAAATGCAACAATAACATAAACAATGACAGCAATAGTAATAATGATAGCAGAGACCTAAAAAATTGTGAAAATTGATGGTATTGTGATCATAAAAATTAGCTATGTTAATTCTGGCATGAACTTGCCTACTTTTCCATTTCAAGGAACGCTTGGTTTGCTATGTCATAACGTCTGCTTTCTGGTAAGTTGATTGGTTGTAGCAATCAAAGGCTGTGAAAACAAATTTAGCTATTAGATCATGTAGACAACTGTCAGAATAATTTATTTGTAAATGCAGATTATATTGATGAACCCTGTTGTATGAAAAGGTTCAATAGTTTCTTTTCAGGGGTCATCATTCATTTTTCATGGCCTCTGCAGACCAGAGGCATGTTGATTGGATTAAAAAACTGTTCAGTGCCTGTGAATGTGCAACCAGGAGATCTTTCTTATTTTGCTTGGCTCATAATATTAGCTTCTACTAGTACTTTCTATTTGCCTTCATTTGCTTCGTTATGTTGTTAATGTTCATTGTATTGCTGTTTATATGAATATCAAAGTATTTTTTTCAACACAAGCTTTGTCCTGATATTGCTAAACATTACCAATTTCTTTTTCTTTTTTTAATATAATTTTTTTTACAAGTGAACTTCCCAAACCTCACAGTAGTTTCCATTTAACTTTTGTTGATGTTCTTAGAGATTTCTCCCTTCAGAACAGTACCTGTATATTTTGAAGTAGCCATCTAAGAAGTGTACATAATTCACGAGTTGGAAAATATTGCCTTATGTGCTTTGAGGGTATGCATTGGTATTAAAACACCTAAAAGTGGTTTGTTCATAAGTCTTTTGTGTAATAAAATAAGAGTTTTGTACAAAAGTTATATTTATGATCACTGTAAATAAGTATTGTACAGTTAGGAAGAATTTCATAATTTCTCAAGAAACCTGAAGAGATCAAACTGAGAGATCAAGATGTTTTATTGTTACCAATAGATAATGCCATAGAAAATGTTGATGTACTTATCTCATTTAGCATGCCTTTCAGAGTCAAACGAGAAAGATAAAAATAATAAAAAATAATTTTTAAAAGCAAAGTTGTTAATATACAGTTGTTCATGATTGGAAAATAAATTGTGTACAATGTATTTTTGTCTGCTTGGACCTACATACTCATTACGAAATACAGATTTTGATCGGTCTCTAATTATTTTCTTTGTTAAATTTTGTATCCACAGCAGTATTTATTAAATTAGTAATTGTTTTAACATTACATCACATTGCAGTATTAATTCAAACCTGGAAAATTGATTAGGAATATAAAATTAATTTTCATTTGTCTAAAGTATTACAAATTCATTCACAAATAAGTTATGAAATAGATAATCTTAAATTCATTCTTATTTATCAACAATATATTGGGTTTGGGACACTCTTCAAAACATTAGTATTGTTGATCATTCTTATTTTGCTGTTTTTAAAGGGTGACAGAGAGAGTTAATCTATAATTCAATGTGCCTAAAAAAAAGTATTGTTGAGATTAAACAGCCAAAAATGGTGTATGGTCACTGAAAACCAATTCTATCTTGTCAAATGTGTGCACTATGTGTATTATACTGTGGAGCCAGGCTCCTGCTCAGGCTCCTCCAGGTGTTTTTGGTTAGTGCTTCCTTTGTTACCCACTGAGTTAAGCGAAGTGATTCCTAGAATTATTCATTTGACTTTTAGACACTTCCTTTTGATCTAACGATTCTGGAGTCTTGTGTGAATGAACTTCTGGTTTTCCAGAAGCAACACTGTGCACATGTATGTTTGCAAAAACTAAGGTATTATTCATCAAAAGAAAGCCTGTAAATTGGGTCATAGTTGAAATTTGTAGAAATTTAGTAATCTTAATAAAGTAAATAAATCGCAGGGAAGGTGAAAAAGTATGATGTTCTAAACAAATAATTTTCTTTGTTAGAAAAAGAACAATGGATTCTGAATTACACAAAATAATGGAGGAATGATAGAACAATAGAATACTGGTGACCCACAGCAGCAAACTAGTGGTGCTACAGAATGGCGCAGACTTTCTCATACTAGTTTTCTAGTTTCTTTGTTCGGGCTTAATGTTTTGATCTTGCCCCATCCTTTTGCCAGCTGCCATTTATTGCTGCCTCAAGAACATTTTACAAAATTTTTTCATTTTTTTTAGGTTTCATAATAGTAGGACCAATATATTACTTTATGAATATTAAAGAAGAGTGAAACCTCGTCCTAAATGGCAATTTTTGTTGAAAACTTTGGATCTGTTTTTACGAAAATATCTTTTTAGACTTTACCGTAAATGCAAAATTTGAAGCTCTTTTACGCAGAAAACTTTTGAGTTTTCGAGAAACTTCATTGGAAGTTATTCGAAGCACTTTCACTCACAAATCCGATTATGTAACCAAATTGCTGGAAATATGCATATTAACAGTGTGAAAAATGCATAAAAAATACATTTGTGTAATATTTTCTTAAACAAAAGAATACTTGACACATTAAATACTGTATTTAGCATTTTCCATGCAAAAAAATTAAAAAAAGAATTTGGGGTCGTTTTTTGATTAATGGTGTTTATGATGATTAATGGCGTCTAAAAAAGAGGAAATTTGAACTCATTTTCACAGAAGACTTGAGTTTTCCAGAAACTTTATTAGAAATCATTCAAAGCACACAAACTCATAAATGTAATATAATGACCCAATTGCCACTTACTTAAATATTAACAATGTGAGAGACCAGACAAAAAATTTTTGTCTTTACAAAAGAATGCAGCAAAACATAGTTTATGTCATGTAGTACATTTAGCACTAAACCTGCCAAAAGTGTAAAGAAAAAATTTGGAACCGTTTGAGAAATTCCTGTTTTTGTAATTTTTTAATATTGCTCATATTTCACACAACATTGCGTGAAAGCTAAAATTAAGAAAATAAATGTACATGGCCTTAATGAAAGAACTAATTATGGAGAACAAATTTAATTTGAAACAAAATTCTCCACCTTTAATTTTGTAGTTTTGGGAAGATGCTGAAAAAAATTCAATCTTTTGCAATTTTTGAAAATTCAGAGTTAACAGTGAAAATATGAGCTAAGCTACCTGTATAGGTGTATTTCACTGCATTTTTACAAGGAATTTAAAGAAAAATTTTTGAGTTATTTTTTAAGAAAATTTTGAAATGTTTCCAGTGGTTTCATTTCAAGTACCACCAAAATGTAAAGAGTTTTTTCAAAATTGGAGAGCTTCCAGAGGAGCCAGATCGATCGGGGAATTTAGAGAAAGCTGCACATGTGATTTAGGCGCTAGTGTTGTTCACAGATGTCTAGGCATTTTGAAAAAGGCCTTTTTCAGTATCAAAGACCCACAATTTCTGAAATCTGACTACACAACATGTTAGAGGGAAAATTTTCTCCATGTTAAGAAGATTTATCCCCTTTTTCTGTATCAGGTCCTACCAAACCAAGTTTTCGTGTCAAAAAATCGCCATTCTTTGCCTACGTTAATTCTCTGTACTACATGTATTACTTGTATATACATACATATATGAGAAAGTAAAAAAACTGCTGTCAAGTATGTGGAACAGTAAGAATTGGCTGTACTGAAGTGGTACAAATGAGAACTGAAGCATTTTTTCCCTTCTCACATGATGCAAACTGTGTCGTAAGCAGTGATACAATATGTATGAGAATATAGTCATGCATCATGAGTGATTGTGGATGTACATAATTAAATATTAGCATTTTTCAGTTAAAATTGATTTTGATTCATCGGATTTTTTCATCTTCCAAGGTATTTAAGGTAACTATTTGCTCCCCTCACATTTCTAGAGGTTGCTTTATATATGTGTTAATTGTTAATTAGTAATATAGGCTGGGAAAAGAAAAAGGACAATCAAAAGAAATTACATGGGTTAATGGTGTAGATGTAAATAATAATAGAAGATGGAAATCTGTCTAATTAAAATAATAGTGAAGTGCGAGTCCAAAATATACATTGTGGAGAAATAGTATATCAAAATTAGACAAAGCTATATTCTTACATGGCATGTCCACAACAAGACTCAGATCTCATAGCTAGGAGCTGTTCTTGGCCGTTTTTACACATAAAGGAAGTTTGATTTAGAAGTCATTTGGTCAGGACTCAAAAGTCAATTTTTCTGAGTTTTACCAGTGATTCAGAATTGGCAATATGTAGGAATGTATGTTAATGCTGAAAATCTGTTTGAAAATACAGATGGAAATGAAAATCGGTAATGATACAATGAGTGTTTTTGGAAGATGAATTTGATATGGAAAGTAATGAAGCATTGGATGCAAATAATTGTACAAAGAAGGTTTGTGAAACCAGAAGTCCAAAAACGAAAGAAATGAATTTTCAATGAAATTTAGACTACAAATCAGAAAAAATTTACAGAGCTACAATTACAAAATTGCTTTCAAGGCTGATTTGGAAAGAATGAAGGTATCACAAAGGTGATTTTGTCCTAAACACACAGAAGAGAGAATAATAGAGCATAAGTGGCCTAAATGTCTTGAATTGGAGATTGAAGTTAGGCCACTTTTCCTCCCATGGCAAAAAAGCAGTTTGGTTAGAAGCACTTTTGTGCTTGTCTCAATTGAAGCTTTAACAATGCAATCAATTTTGGGGAAGAAAATGAGATGGACTAAATTGTGCCTGAAAATTTATTTTTAAATTCAGTGAGGCAATACAATTTAATGGTTTTCTTTTCAGTAGTCGTTTTGTGGCTTCCATCTAGCAGACAACTGATGATGATGGCTAAGCCATCGAAAGCTGCTATTGAATTAAAAAAATATTGTTGGCAATGACATCTTTAATTATTTCTTTTCAGTCTGACACATGAAAAAAGGTAAGTTATAATATGGCTAAGGAATGCAGATAATATGGAAATTAGTTGGAGGAAAAATGTGAGGGAGAACAACTTAAAAGGCTTTTAATGTTGTGAAGAAATTCGTATAACCTGTAATTTAAAGGTTGTATTTCTTTATTATTGTTTGTAGGAATACCTTACATTGTTTAATGTCCTATAAGTTTTACAATATAATATGAAAAATTTTTTATTTTACCTAACTCTAGTAGGATTTATTTGGATTTTCAAAACGTTTTGTTATTGTGAGAGAATATGGAACATTTATCCAGTCTGCTTAGAACACATAATTACCCTTATACTATTACTTTTCCTTCAAACACTCGCAATACTCCATGTATACTATTTCAGAAATATTTAGTTTTACACTGTCCCCAGTAAAAGTTAGTTATTGAAATAATTCATTCAACGATTAAATTGGCATTGATGGGTTAGGTGAGGAATCATGCCCCTCCCACAAATGTTGGGAGGGATATAAAATGATTGTAAATGAAGCGACCTAGAAATTTTGAACTGAGATTTGTACACAAAACTAATATTAAACAATGAAATTATCAGATTGTATTTAAGAATTATTTAGCATCTGATAAACTACTAATTATGTTTCTGTATGTTTCATTAATAAAAAAATAATTTTCGTGCCCAGAATGGCTTTCCTCTAAATCAAGGAGGCAGAACTATTTAAGGTGGAGTTAGAATCACTCTTTTTTTTACTCTGGTTTCCAGTACTAGAACATTAATCTTTCTTTTTATTTTCATTTAAAATAGTTGTAGTTCACATTCTATGTCGTTTATTCCTGGTGCCCGCTTATCTTTAAGGACGGACACTAACATCAAGGTGATATGTTATGGTGATGATAAGGACAAACACAAATACAACCATGCTTGAGACTGGTCTGGAACCCATGATCCTTCAGTTCGAGATCACTACGACACTTCTGCTTAACGATCTAGGCCATCCAGACGACCCAGTTTTGCTTTGTGGACTACATTTAAACAAACTACTGTCAAAGAAAACCCAACTGAAAAGCAAGTTCTTTTGTTTTTTCCTGCTCTAAAGTATTCCTGCAAAATTATGGAGCACTCACTCCTGTAGTTAAAAGTTTTTTGGTATTACTATATTCACTTTTATGATGTATTTGCTGACTATCTCCACAATTGACCAAAACTTGATTTTGGATTTTTGTGAAGTTCATAATCTCACAAAGGAATAAAGTTCAAGTCCATCTAAAATGTACATTCTACCTGCAGATCATATCAAACCTGTGAATCTGTGAGGAATTTTGCCTCCTAAAATTGCTGCAAATGGAAGTCCTGGTTTTGATTACAAACGCATCTTAAGAATTAATTTCAGTCGATT